TTTATATTGTTTATGCTGGAAAAACAATGCCAGGAAAGGAGTTACTTCCTTCCTAGCATTGTTTTTCTAGCATAAACATAAAATAGGTTAAAGGAAACTCAACAACATATTGTGAACATTGCCAAAACACATTTCGAGAACCCAGTGATTGATGAGTAAGCCAGTCAACATTAGTACATGTATTCTGATCAAAGTATATCTGTACAAATGTGAAAACCATCTCGTTAGTGTATGGGGCAGGTTCATTATATGAGTGGGTAATACAAGGTTGTAATCACAGTCACGTCTGATTGATTTGTCAGACTTTTGGGACGTCTAACTTTTGGGAGTAAACCGCTGATAAATAGTATTCACTGCAAATCTGACAGGATATGCAACAATGAATCTGATTATGCCAGAGCTAATGCTCTCCAATGATGGCATAAACTAAGCTTAATCACGAGTTTAATCTTTAGAAAAAAGGGGCGCTGTAAGAAATTTTATTGAAAAATGAACGCACTATTCCCGCAAACACAACACTGTGCAGTCCCAATTAGCTGAAATAATCAAAGATTAGTCTTAGTGACCAAATGACCAAGCAATTGGTCCTGTTTTCTAATAATCAAACACAAATGATTTTGGAAAGCTTATTAGCATGAGCAATATTTATAGAAGGTTTGGGGCTTTTTCTGTATTATCAAATTTACACATCATAAGCACCACCAGCTTGTCTACCTACTAATCTTTGTAGTTCAACTCACAGAATGTTCAAACCAACATTACTAAGCAACAAAATAGGGTTGGGATTAAATTCTGCATTACAGATTTTCCTGAAGTTATATGTGTGTATGTGTCAAACTTACTTTACTAGTTTAAGCCAGACCAATTGTATTTCTTGTTTTACAGATTCGCCGGTCGTATTTTTTCAAGAACTTTTTGGCCAAAATTGTAAATGTGCAAGAAAATCTTTTTAGATTGTTTTATTTTTTTGCCCCATATACACTTAATAAATTGGCAAAAGTAAAATAGTTTTAGTTTTTAAAAGGAATATTACTTTGACTGGTGATTTTTATTTTATATTTTTTTTCCTCCTGCCTTTTGTTTTCTGAACAAAAATCTGTAAAACAAGAAATAAAATTGGTCTGGCCTTATGTATATTAGTAAAGATAACTATTGGTAAAACTTTTAATCAGTAATATAATGGGGCTGTGGGGTGGCGTAGTAGTAAACCGTTCGCTCGTCATGCCAAAGACCTGGGTTCGATTCCCCAAATGGGTACAATGTGTGCAGCCCATTTCTGGTCTCCCACGCCCTGATATTGCTGGAATATTGCTAAAAGTGTCATAAAACTAAACTCAGTCAGTCAGTCAACTGTTTTCATGTTTGAAACATATCTTAGAAGTTAGAAGTTGTCAGAGCTGGACAACATGTTTATTTCTTAGAGAACTCACTTCAGTCATTGACAAGTCATGACTGGAGATTTATTTCTTTTAATCATCAGTGTCAGGTAACAAGGCGCATCATTTTAAGTTGGATGTGAAGGTGCAAATGCCTTTTGTGCATTTTCTAAATAAAAACAAAGAAAAAGAGAACCACATATTTTCTTTATGTTTATCTTCAATAACATTCTGAACAAGCAAATAGTAAAAATTACGCTAACCAATTTTTTTTTGATGATTGGTAGGTGGTTGTGAACAAACATCAGTCATGTACCCAACACTAGTCAGTACATAGCATCAGTTATGTACCCAACACTAGTCAGTACATAGCATCAGTTATGTACCCAACACTAGTCAGTACATAGCATCAGTTATGTACCCAACACTAGTCAGTACATAGCATCAGATATGTACCCAACACTAGTCAGTACATAGCATCAGTTATGTACCCAACACTAGTCAGTACATAGCATCAGTTATGTACCCAACACTAGTCAGTACATAGCATCAGTTATGTACCCAACACTAGTCAGCACATAGCATCAGTTATGTACCCAACACTAGTTAGTACATAGCATCAGTCATGTACCCAACACTAGTCAGTACATAGCATCAGTTATGTACCCAACACTAGTCAGTACATAGCATCAGTTATGTACCCAACACTAGTCAGTACATAGCATCAGTTATGTACCCAACACTAGTCAGTACATAGCATCAGTCATGTACCCAACACTAGTCAGTACATAGCATCAGTTATGTACCCAACACTAGTCAGTACATAGCATCAGTTATGTACCCAACACTAGTCAGTACATAGCATCAGTTATGTACCCAACACTAGTCAGTACATAGCATCAGTTATGTACCCAACACTAGTCAGTACATAGCATCAGTTATGTACCCAACACTAGTCAGTACATAGCATCAGTTATGTACCCAACACTAGTCAGTACATAGCTTCAGTCATGTACCCAACACTAGTCAGTACATAGCATCAGTCATGTACCCAACACTAGTCAGTACATAGCATCAGTCATGTACCCAACACTAGTCAGTACATAGCTTCAGTCATGTACCCAACACTAGTCAGTACATAGCATCAGTCATGTACCCAACACTAGTCAGTACATAGCATCAGTTATGTACCCAACACTAGTCAGTACATAGCATCAGTCATGTACCCAACACTAGTCAGTACATAGCATCAGTTATGTACCCAACACTAGTCAGAACATAGCATCAGTCATGTACCCAACACTAGTCAGAACATAGCATCAGTCATGTACCCAACACTAGTCAGTACGTAGCATCAGTCATGTACCCAACACTAGTCTGTACGTAGCATCAGTCATGTACCCAACACTAGTCAGTACATAGCATCAGTTATGTACCCAACACTAGTCAGAACATAGCATCAGTCATGTACCCAACACTAGTCAGTACATAGCATCAGTTATGTACCCAACACTAGTCAGTACATAGCATCAGTTATGTACCCAACACTAGTCAGAACATAGCATCAGTCATGTACCCAACACTAGTCAGAACATAGCATCAGTCATGTACCCAACACTAGTCAGAACATAGCATCAGTCATGTACCCAACACTAGTCTGTACGTAGCATCAGTCATGTACCCAACACTAGTCAGTACATAGCATCAGTCATGTACCCAACACTAGTCTGTACGTAGCATCAGTCATGTACCCAACACTAGTCAGAACATAGCATCAGTTATGTACCCAACACTAGTCAGTACATAGCATCAGTCATGTACCCAACACTAGTCTGTACGTAGCATCAGTCATGTACCCAACACTAGTCAGTACGTAGCATCAGTCATGTACCCAACACTAGTCAGTACGTAGCATCAGTCATGTACCCAACACTAGTTAGTACATAGCATCAGTTATGTACCCAACACTAGTCAGTACATAGCATCAGTCATGTACCCAACACTAGTCTGTACGTAGCATCAGTCATGTACCCAACACTAGTCAGAACATAGCATCAGTTATGTACCCAACACTAGTCAGTACATAGCATCAGTCATGTACCCAACACTAGTCTGTACGTAGCATCAGTCATGTACCCAACACTAGTCAGTACGTAGCATCAGTCATGTACCCAACACTAGTCAGTACGTAGCATCAGTCATGTACCCAACACTAGTCAGTACGTAGCATCAGTCATGTACCCAACACTAGTTAGTACATAGCATCAGTTATGTACCCAACACTAGTCAGTACATAGCATCAGTCATGTACCCAACACTAGTCTGTACATAGCATCAGTCATGTACCCAACACTAGTTAGTACATAGCATCAGTTATGTACCCAACACTAGTCAGTACATAGCATCAGTTATGTACCCAACACTAGTCAGTACATAGCATCAGTCATGTACCCAACACTAGTCAGTACCCAACACTAGTCAGTACATAGCATCAGTTATGTACCCAACACTAGTCAGTACATAGCATCAGTCATGTACCCAACACTAGTCAGTACATAGCCAAAGATGGTGGCCTTTGTCACTCAACTCTATAGGGTTTGTAAGTCTTGCGAGGCACTACTTCTGGTACTAAGCTGGTTCCCGGCTCCAACTTGTGCGCGCCAACTTGCTATATTTGAGACGGGGCCAAGCTTACTTCCTGTATCAGATTTCCGGTGACAAGTATATACATGTATTCAAGAACCAGTTCTGGTTCCAAACTACGCAACCGCCAAACAGAACTTTACTAGACAGAACCAAGTGGACAACCATTCTTGGCTGTACGGCTGTTGACAGTCATAATAGTTGGCTAATTTGGGGATGGTTAGAAAATTCTTATTCCTGCAATGATTTTTGGTTACCTCAAAACTTTAGTGAAAAAAAGCCCAAGAAAACTAAGTATTTAATGTACTTAAGTTTTTTATCCTCTGCAACAACGAAGTTGCTGGGGATATAGAAACGAGGTCCGTTCGTGCATCCTTGACTCGTTGTCCGAAACATATCTCATAAACTATTGGTAATAGCTTAACCAAACTTGGTACACATGTCAACCATGATCCCTTGATGTGCCTTTGGGGGTTAGACCCAGATATGAAGTTATTTTTTGCGGTTTCCATGGAAACATGACTTAGGCTGTGACTATGAGGGTGTCATCTTGTCCGGAGCTGATCTCCCAAACTATACATGCCAGCTTTATCAAACTTGGTACACATGTTCACAATGATCCATAGATGTGCCTTTTGGGGGATACACCAGTGTGTGAATTTTATTTTCTGTGGTTTCCAGGGCAACAAGTTCGACTTCGACTGAATTTAGTGGTAGTGTTCTTTTCCGAAGCAGAACTGTAAAACCTCACAATATTCTCCTTCCACTTTGCCATATACGCACCAAAACATTTGACATATTCATAACTAGTAGACATATTCATGAAGAGTATTTTGCCATTGCTGGGGATATTGATGACTTTGTCTTCTTGTTTTAATTGTTTAAGTTGTTTGATAAATACAGCCTCTGATCCTCATGGGTGTTAGCTTACAAATGCTTGTAAAAGATCCATAGTGAATTGAGATGAAACATTTCTTGCAGGAGCAGCAGTTATTTGAGAAGCGAGAGAGAGAAACACTGAGGAAGAGCATGCAGGTATGTTAACTGCTTTATCTAATAATAATGATAATTTTATGAATATACAACTTCTGTATTCGGTGAAAGGCGACGTTTCGATTCTGAAGTTGTTGTCAGGCAAGTGATCACTATCACAGTGCCTTTCACAGAATAAAGAAGTTGTATATCCATAAAACTATCTTCATTCTTCATTGCCTCAGCTTCGAAAATGCCTATCAAAGAAGATGAATTATCTAAGTCATTAGTGGAGCAGCTTAGGCCAAATAAGTGGCTTAGTTGTTGAGATACACAAACCAGCATACCCACGCTTTCTAATGTGGTCAGACCGCTTCCGTGGTGAAGTGGTTAGACCGTCCGCCCGGAGAGCAGAAGGTCGCAGGTTCGATCCCCGACCGCGTCATACCAATAAACGTTAAAATATGGTACTTGTTGGTCCCTGCCTGGCGCTCGGCATTAATGGGTACAACAAAGACTGGTTGGCTCGGAATCAGTATAATGTGTCTGCGTGGGGTATTCATGCTTCACTGCGGCATGGTATCTCGGTGGGCTAGCACTATAAAACCAGCTTAAGTCTGGGCTAGTACAAGCAGCCGCACAAACACATACACACGCATGCATGTCGTCATATGAGCGAAATATTCTCAAGCATGTCGTTAAACCCAGTTTCACCTCGCATCGCATCGCATCGCATCCCCCCACCCCACCCCAAACTAGATGTCTAAACTCTACAGGGCAAATAGTATAAAACGTCTTATTTCAGTCCTGCCCCACAACGAAGCACATGTGATACATATGGTCTCACCTTAGGCAAGTGAGTTTGTTCAAAATTGCCTCTGTTCACCCAGCAGAAAATGGGTACCCGGTTGGATAAAGTCATGTGACTATAATCTTCTAGCGCCTAACAGGCAGCTTGGGTTATCCGGGGTAATAAGAATCAGATCTGATTAATCACCACAAGCAATCACTTGGTGTTTGGAGATTGTGCGCTATAGAAGATGACTTATTGTTATTATTATTTTTAATCAAGCAACTTCCTGGCATCTGCTGCAGAAAAATGAAGGATAAAGCATCCATATTTTAGGAAACACCAAATATTGTAATGTTCTGGTCGGAAATATCAAATGGTGTTATCATCATTCACCTTTTTCTATATATTTCTACGATGCTTTGCTTAAAGATCAGAGGCGCCGACAGTACTTTAATAGGTGATGAAGTACACTTTTTACATGACGTCACACTATTGACGTCACTACCCCATTCTCATCTGCCCCATTGTTATCAAACATACCCTTGGTAGCCAACGTCACGATGCATGACAATTGTCGTCGCCTCGTACAGCCTCCTACAATAAACTACTCCGAAGCACCCCATTTTCATGGTTTTCGGTTGCTTCACTTTGCTAACATCACTGGTGGAAACATTACTTTTATAAATGTGTGGATGCACTGATCTAAGCTTACATTGATAGTAGAAATGAGACGTTCATATTTCCCCATATGGTTTACGTTCATTACAGATGTCATTAAGATAATTTAGAGAAGATACGTTACCTGAATGTATACCGTCATCAAATGGTTGATCATTTCAGGGTTTTATATGACGCATGATTCCTGCATATTCGATGCAACAACTTTGTAAAAGACTCTCAAAATATTATCATACGAGTCAGGCTTGACGCAAGTTTATGAGTGACTCTCAGAATTCAGTTCAATAAAATCAATTTGATAAGCAAACAATGATGGTTTTTGTGAGGTCTTCATTAATTTAGATATTTCTTTCAATTCATGTTAATAACTATGCTATGGTGAATAAATCACAAGCATGACTATTTGTTCAGTATACTGGATTTTGTTATGACTGATTTGAACTGTGAATAATATACTATTTATTAACTACCGGGTAACATTGAAATGGCAATACAACACAAAACAACAAATCTTTGCAATAAATAAATATTACACTAAAATTTTCATGACTCCCAAACATTGAAAACGACTCCCCAAAATAAATACTGTGTGTCACCATGACTTTCTTTTTTCAAAGTCTGTGTAAAACCCTGCATTTGTTTATCTGGTAACGTGCGTCTTAACGTAGGAGGACAGACACGTCAATAAAATAGCACGTCAGTTAGCCCTAAGCGAGGATTGTTAATTTACATCACCGACACGTTTTTCTGCCTTAGATTAATCATAATTAACCTTAGAAAGTATTATATTTGGCATCTTAGAAAAGAAATATAGTTCCGTCTACCTCCATTTCTTATATATATACAGTCAAATCCCGATGAGTCGAATGCCGGTGTCTCGAATATTATGCATAACACGAAGTACCTGTCGGTCCCGACCATTCCCTGCTATTTTTGTCATCATTTGATTTCCCGGTAACACGAATTTGTCTCATAAATACACACGATGACTCGAAATGGAAATTTGGTCCCTTGAGATTCAAACAATAGTAATCTTGTATACATAAGCCGTGGTCAGTCAATGAGAAGTTAATTGGTGATCCAACTACATGTAACTGATCCAATTAACAAACCAGCGCGGCTCGCACCTTTCCGCTATTGTCGGGTGAGTTCAAAAGGCAGATTAGTGAATTTACGGAAACGGAAGAATTAGCACCTGTCACAACGACGACTCGTCTGATGATGAAGACGAGACACCCCCTTCCCGTCAAACCACCACCATCCGTATCGGACACGATAAAGTTCTGTGAAGGACTGGAGGAATTTCCCGAGTCGGTTCCAGGTACAAACAACGGACATTTTTCCCACTTGGCAAGCGTCCGTGAATTTGTGGATAAATGTAAGGGAAATTCACAGAAACAAACATTAATGTCAGACTTTTTCCAGAAGTGAGTTCATCTTTTTGTGTTAATAAGATTCAAGATGGCGGCATGTATAAGTATATCTATCGATTGCCGAATTGTTCAATATTGAATCATCTTTTTTTTCTACCCTCATAGACATACCTATGTCTCGAATACATCGATAAGCCGAATCTTTTACTTGGTCCCCAGCGATTCGACTCATCGGGATTTGACTGTATATGAATCAGAATGTGTATATACATGATGTAATCATCAATGGAGAGGCGATGTAACTTAGAGTACTTGCAGTGAATGAAAAAAGGAAGTGCCCCTCAAGCGAGTTCTGTCCTTTAAAATGCCCCAGTGCTCCAAGTCAGGTAGAAGAACTGGGGCCCATTCCACAGCGTGACTCATTACTCGCACACGGAAACGTGACCATATTACACCGATCCTGGAGATCTTGCATTGGTTGCCATTTCACCTCCGGTGTCAGTACCAGATCTTGATGTACATGTACAAGGCCTTGGATAACAACTGTTCCATCATATCTCAAGGAGCTTGTCATTCTTTATGAGCCAGCGCAATCTCTTCTATCACAATATGCATCTCTGATCACTGTGCTCTACAAATTATGCATATTATTAGTATTAATATTATTATTATTATTATTATTATTATCAATCAACATGAACAGGATATCTTCAAGAGACACAGACATGTTCTGGTGAAGCTTGGATGATGTCCAGCAGATAGAGATTGTTTTTGATAAGTCTACGGATGACATCATTAACAGTCAGAACCGATCAAAGATGGGGAAGGCCAAGGTCATCTGTACCATGTGAAAGCAGATGTAATTATTCAGAACTTGAAACGTTTCTTTACTAAGGGTAAAGCCAACTTGTCACAGCACTACAGTGAGTGTATGATAATGCGGGTACCAGGGCTACTAAAGAAAGGGCAGAAGTTATGTGTTAGTGGCGACCAGGATGTTATATCTTTTTATGTTATCTTCCACGTAATCGTTAAACTTGTCACAGTACTACAGTGAGTGTATGATAAGACAGGTACCAGGGCTTCTAAAGAAAGGGCAGAAGTTATGTGTTAGTGGCGACCAGGATGTAATATCTATATATGTTATCTTCCACGTAATTGTTTCCTTTAAACTTGTCACAGTACTACAGTGAGTGTATGATAAGACGGGTACCAGGGCTACTAAAGAAAGGGCAGAAGTTATGTGTTAGTGGCGACCAGGAGGTAATATCTATATATGTTATCTTCCACGTAATCGTTAAACTTGTCACAGCACTACAGTGAGTGTATGATAAGACGGGTACCAGGGCTACTATGTTATGTTTTGTGTCAGTTGCGGCAGGATCTATATCTTTCACGGAAGTGTAATACAGGCTGACGGTCTGTTTTCAAACCAGGATGAAACTGACACAAGAACAATGCTCGAGGTAGCCTCTGTGCGGAAGATGGTGCTTTGTCCTAATGTCCGTGTCCTGTTCGTACACAATAGACCAGTACTCAAAGTGAAGTCAGTCGTCTTCCTGATATCGTGTCACTGACGGGAAACACCTTAGTTTATTTTCTATTTTGGTGCAATATATTACAGAGGCGGATACAGCTATCTGAGAAAGATGGGGGTTGGGGATCTGCCTATGTACATTTGTTGCTTGCTGATCTCTATATGAACTGATATATTCAATGTGTTCCACAGCTTTGTCATGAGTAAACCCAGCAAGTGATGTAAAGAAATCTACTTACGATTGATATGTCCATCTAAATCATAGCCAAAAGGATCCATAGATATCTAGGGGTAAAATATCATTTCATAGACTGTCGGCTTGGGTTTTCTGAATCAGTAATAACAGGGCAAATTTCACCACAAGAGAAAATGTTGTTATGCTGGTTTGGGTGACCCTTGCTGCTCCTCTATGAAGCCTGTCTCACAGTCCCTGAACCACATTATTTTTCTCCCGCTCAGCTCTTTCTGCAATGCTAAAGCCCTTAATGAAGAAAGTCTACATTTCCACTGTATCTCCCAACTCACTGGGGCTCCTATTCAATTTAAAAGGAATTGTTTGTTTCAAGCAAAATTATTTTTATTCAAAGACAAAGCGTTAGTCTAGCCAAGACAATACCATGTCATGTACCATGTGTTTAAGAAGTGAAAATGTGAGTTATCTCCCCTGGTGGGTACTAGTAGTACTTGAGTCTAACTAAACGTGACCCATTGTCCAAGTAACTAGCCCTGTGAACACCAGGGTTAGAATTGGTCTTCAGTAACCCATGTCGTAACAGGCGATTAATGGGATCGGTGGTTAGGCTCACTGACTTGGTTGACACATGTCATCCTATCCCAGTTGCGTAGATGGATGCTTATGCTGTTGATCACTGGATTGTCTGGTCCAGACTTAATTATTTACAGACCGCCACCATATGGCTCTAATATTGCTGAGTGCGGCATAGACTAAGGCTTAGTGTCTGAATATATATAATTTTGATAGTAACAAACAAGCACGTTTATATTGAAAAGGAGCCCTAGGGAGACCAGAGATTCAGAACCTGAGGAAATCTAGACTTGCTTTATTTAGGGCTTTAGCACTGCAGAGAAGGCTAGGCAGTAGGGATATTAATGTGGTTCAAGGACTGTGAGACAGATTTGTACATAACATGCAGGAGGGGGGTCATTTACTTTGGACATAAATTGTAGTGGGTCACTCACATTGTACATGCTTCTCCATAAAAAGTCATCATCACCTCCCTAGCCATAAATCATGAACTCTCCCTAATTCAAAGAACATATGTCCAGGAGCTGAGTTTGAAGCAGAGAGCAGCAGAACGCGAGTCGGAAGAACAACTTGTTCAACAGAGACTAGAGGCTGAGATCCGTATTGCAGAACAGAGGAAGGAGATGAGAGCCCACGCCGACAAAATGGTCAGTAAGTGGTCACATATGGCCAAATCATGGAAGTGGTTTTACAGTATTCATGTTTAGTTCCATTGTGTGGTGATTTTTGGTCTTTTGCATACGTCCTTGGGTCCTGTTCAACACCCCTTGAAGTCAAGCAACCCATGCTTGTTGTAAGAGGTGACTAACAGGATCAGGTGGTCCCGTGAACATTCGGGATAGAATTCTTTCAGCAACCCATGCTTGTTGTAACAGGTGACTCACAGGATCAGGTGGTCCCGTGAACATTCGGGGTAGAATTCTTTCAGCAACCCATGCTTGTTGTAAGAGGTGACTAACAGGATCAGGTGGTCCCGTGAACATTCGGGGTAGAATTGGTCTTCAGCTACTCATGCTTGTCATAAGAGGTGACTCACAGTATCAGGTGGTCCCGTGAACATTCGGGATAGAATTCTTTCAGCAACCCATGCTTGTTGTAAGAGGTGACTAACAGGATCAGGTGGTCCCGAGAAGATCAGTGGTGGAATTGGTCTTCAGCAACCCGTGCTTGTCATAAGAGGCAATTAACGGGATCGGTTGGTCCTACATGAAGCTAGTCTTGCTTTTCCAAGGTTTTTCCAACTCATGAGGCTTCTTTTCAATTTAAATGGGTTTATTTGTTACTATCAAAATAATATATACTGTAAACCGCAACTATTCTGCGTCAGTTTATATTTTGCGAATTTTGCGTTTCTCTTCCCCACGTAAAACATTCTCGGCATAGTAATATTAAGAAAGGTAAATTTACATCACAAATATCTTAGACATTCCTCCTTCAATATTTATCAATACACACACCACAAAACAAATATTTCTGATGATACTTTATTCATGGAAATACACAGACAAGTTCTACACACAATAATAACAAAATAGATGTGTATTAAGAGCACTCCCGACCAGAGCAGTTAAAACAGAATCTAGTTTACTCAATGTCATGTCCTATAACAAATAATCTTAACAAAAGCAGCTTACTGGTGGATTAGCCCACTTCCTGAGTCTGTCATTCATACAATATCGGGGGGGCGGTGGGGTAGCCTAGTGGTTAAAGCGTTGGCTCGTCACGCCTAAGACCCGGGTTCGAATCCCCACATGGGTACAATGTGTGAAGCTCATTTCTGGTGTCCCCTGCCATGATGTTGCTGGAATATTGCTAAAAGCGCGTAAAACCAAACTCAGTCAGTCATACAATATCGATGTGATGTAAGAAGCAATGTAGTTTTAGTTAACAATGTTGTGTTGTGTTTACTACTCTCGCAAAAATAATACGTCGTAGAACAGGCTGGGGATACATTGACGCAAAATTTTCTAGGCGCAGAATATTTCCGTTTTACAGTATTCAGGGACTAAGCGTTTACTAAGTCTCTGGTTGTCTGTAAAGTTGGATGACTGTGTTCTCTGTCAACCAAAGGTTGATGCCTCATCTGTTTATAGTGCAAGAAACATGTATAGATACACTGTGCATTGAAGTGAATGAGTGAGGGAGTTCAGGTTTACACTGCTTTTAGCAATATTCTAGTATTTCACGGCAGAGGAATCATTGCTTCATAGACATTGCACCCATGTGAAGAATCGAACATAGGTCTTTGGTGTGCTGAGTGAACGCTTCGACTACTAGGCTACTTCACTGTGCAGTGGAAATATCTGAATGATTGGGTTTTTTTAATATGTAAAGAAAGAGATGCTTAATTTTGTTTCATGATAAAAGTTAAGAGTAGATAAAAATCTGTGACATGTTTGATAAAAGAGAGCAATCTTTTCTTAGTATGTTGAAATGTCTGAATGATTGTTTTTTTTCAATATGTAAAGAAAGAGATGCTTAATCTTGTTTCATGATAAAACTTAAAAGTCACATGCAACGTAAAACACAACTTTGCAGATTCTGATACCTTTCGGTATGGACTTACCCGAAACAAATCGTCAAAAATGCAAATTCAACTTATAAAGTTGAAAAATAACACGATGAAAAAAAACACGCGAAATCGGAGTTCAAACGTTTCACTAATTTTCCCCCGACTTTTCGGGGGAAAGCTGGTTTCAACAGCTGGGCTGCGCTCATAGCTCGTGTGCAGTGAAATAGGTCCGCGCAGCTTGGAAGCGGGTTGTCCGGTGAATACTCGGTGAAGGCTTTGGTGTGAGCTATTTTTCTAATGTTTTGTTGATATCTCACTGGCGCGAGCTTTTTATATGTTATAACAGTAAATTAACTGTTATATAATTTCATTTGTCTATTTCACCACACGTTCTTCTTACCGAGTCACTTTCTCAGTTCGATACTTGAAAGCAATGTCATTATTTTGCGTTGACAGAATTTCTAACTGTGATATAGATATGTCGTTGTCACAGACAAAACTCAATGTCTTGTTTTATTGACACCTGTGTGTCTGCCTGCCTGTCTGCTAATGACAATATTCAATACACAGCTGCTATCACTGACCACATGCAATTTGAACTTAACACCAATCAGACTATTCACCATAAACAAAATGCATTGATTTATGGCCCGAGTTCGGTCTCTGTCACATTATGTAATTACACAGACAGGCAGGTGTGATACTTGAACACATGACATGTTATGATGTCTGTTGATTGTGAAATGTTATACACAAAAAATGAGCATGTATTTACAAAACCCAACATCTCTATATGTACACACACAATGAGCAGTGAGGGCATCTGCAAATGAACCAGCCGTTACACTTGAGTGCACACCCACCCGCTATGACTGGGTTCGGTATCCCGGCTGCTTCGTTTCTTGGGAAGTAAACCCAAGTACACAATATTGTGCTTTTGATTTGCGATTGTACGCTTATAATTTTGTTTATATGTTTTTTCATAACCAGCAATGTATATTATATGTCATGAATAAGTGATAATTGTGTTTTAATTATTTTTGATTTTTTGGTTGCATGTGACCTTTAAGATTAGATAAAAATCTATGACATGTTTGATAAAAGAGAGCAATGTTTTCTTAGTATGTGGAAATGTCTGAATGATTGTTTTTTTCAATATGTAAAGAAAGAGATGCTTAATTTTGTTTCATGATAAAGCTTAACAGTAGATAAAAATCTGTGACATGTTTGATAAAAGAGAGCAATGTTTTCTTAGTGTGTGGAAATGCATCAAACTGAAAATGAAGTAACAATTCTGAGTGCCATGCATATATGCATGTGTCTGTACAATGAGTAGAAAATGTGTCAGCAGAGAACAGTGGTTTGGCTGCATTGGACCATATGTATGTAAAGATGGTGCTTGTTGTTGCCCTGGCTGGTGCTTGGTCTAAGGGGATAGAACAAGGACTGGCTGCCTGAGGACTAGGATTTCTGTGTTAATCTGGGACATGGAATCTCTGTTGGCACGCATCATTAAACAACATTTATGTCGACTATTACACACAAGTCGCTATCTGCTATGATATGGCTCAATCATGCATTATCAATAATAACATTGATTCTCTTTTCAATAATAATAATAATAATAATGATAATTATGAATTTATAGGGGCGGTTGGGTAGCCCAGTGGTTTAAGCGTTGGCTCATCACGCCGAAGACCCGGGTTTGAATCCCCACATGGGCACAATGTGTGAAGCCCATTTCTGGTGTTCCTCGCCGTGATGTTGCTGGAATATTGCTAAAAGCGGTGTCAAACCAAACCAGTCAGTCAGTGAATTTATAATGCGCCTTTTAAATGTGCAAGGCACATGCTCAAAGCGCTAACACACAATCTGATTATTATTACCCTGGATAACCCAAGCTGCCTGTGAGGTGCTACTAGCAAACAAAGATAAGTTGACCACCGCCCTGACAATTGACCCGTATTAGCATGTATGAGTGACGTAGACTGGTGCATGCCATTGTGAGCGAAGAGGCCCCAGATTGTCCAAATATTACCAACATGCTGCACCGACCACGTGAGAATCTTACGAGCAAGGCGTGTGCAGCTACACATGGAATCAGTTCATCGTCATGCACTGCAAGTGCTCTAGCCTCCATCTGCTCTACCTTTCACAATGGATTTGCTCATTTCCGTGCACCGCCTACTTCTCGTAAACGCGTTCTCTGCGCCTGTCCATCTTATCCTTGTTTGCCAGTAGAAGGCTAACGGCCCCATGCTATTAATAGCTGGTAAGTGGTTAATGCTTGGGTATTTCTGTTACACCTTATTACATCTCCTAATCTGTTTGTAGCATATAATCCGTAATTTTGATGTAACAGGATGTTATGTTTTTGTTGCCTTTTTCATTCAGAAAAAGATGCTGGAAAATCATAACGAAGAGAAATATTTGAAAAGAACAGACAACAAGTTGAGAGACTAAACAGGTAGGAGAATGGTTTAGTGAGCTGTAATCATGGTAACCTTGCATGATTCAGGGTTAAAGGCACTTGTGGCCCCATTGCCTCAGCCTACAGAAGCTGAGTGGCAGAGTTACATGCCTTGTTTGTCCAGAAATCAGAACGCTCTTGCTTGATGGTTTTACATATTGTAAAATTCAAAGACCTGCAACAAATGGCGATTGCTTTCTTTATAGAGTTGATAGTTTGGTAAAATCAATGTGAAATCTCTTCAAGATTTACAATGGGATTTTATCAACAGGATAACTTGCAATTGAAACAACCTTTTTGTTTTTGTTTACGGATTTAACTGATGGCTGCGAAAGTCCACAATGAGAAAATGAAATAAAAATAGTTTATAGTTGCTTTATTTGCTCAATCACTCTGTCTTTGAAAGGATAGATAAAATTACCCAAATATAGCAAATTATTTTTCTTCATGCTACCTATATTAAAATGTATTTTCCTGATGTTTACTTAATTTTAACATCTAATCCTGGCCTTTTCTGAAACAACTGCATCTGGTGTTTACTTCATCTACATATTACTCAAAACGAGCTAAACATCCTTTACAAAAAGAAATAAAAAGTGAGTTTAGTTTTACGAAGCATCTAGCAATATTCTGAGTTTAATGAGAGTCATCTGGAATGTCCAATGGAAGTTATCTCCCCTGCATCAACGTACATTATAACATTTATTTTCAAATGCAAAGCCAGCAGAATTCTATGCCTTTTGGTCTTTCTTCCATACACTCTTCTCAAATGTTATTGGACCCGTGAAAATCCGGATTAGAATTGGTCTTCAGTAACCCATGCTTGTCGTAAGAGTCGACTAACAGGATCAGGTGGTCAGGCTTGCTGACTTGGTTGACATGTCATTGGTTCCCAATTGCGTAGATCGATGTTCATGCTGTTGACCACTGGATTGTCTGGTCCACACTCAGTTATTTACAGAACGCCGCCACAAACATGTAGCTGGAATATTGCTGAGTGCGACGTAAAACTAAACTCTCTCACTCACACAAATGTTATTGATCCTTAGATATCTTTAAAAAAACTTGCTATGTATATTACAACTCAACTTTCAAAGTACATACGAATATTTGTATGACATATCAGAATGTATATGATCATTGTATCATTGTATCATTATATGTACTGTGAATAATACAACTCAACATTTGAATTTCACACGAATGCCTGTACCATGTCACGGTTTTGTCATGTATAATGGTAATCGTATGATGTACCGGTACACATACTTAGGGAAATAAAAATACATAAAAATAACCAAAAAAAACCCATAAATTATTACCTTTTGTGTTTGCAACAGGCTACAATATTGAATTTTTGCTCGGATGTAAGAATTTTGGGGGGCTTAAGCTAAAATAACTGCATTTAAATAAGGTCTAATAAATGTCAAACGAAATATTTTTCAGTCTTACAAAATAATGCTTGAGCAGGAACAATTTTTTGTAGATAGGCAACTTCTTGATTGCAATGGATGCAACGTTTCGGTGTAGATGCTGACACCGTTATCAAGCAAGTGATCATTGATAATGGTGGTAGCATCTACACCAAAACGTTGCATCCATTGCAATAAAGAAATTGTCTGTCCATCGAAAATTGTTCCTGTTCATTATACCAGCTTCTAAATGTGACTCAAAGAAGAAAAATAATGCTTGTATTCTATTACAGAGAGAAAAGCAACCACCTGTGTACCTCTGTGGATGTGAAACATTCGTCAGCCAGGTTGAAATTTGAAAAGATGCTGCAGCAGAAATACCACCAGATGATGCTCAACCAGTGAGTTCAGCTTGTCTTAAAGACCCATGAAGATCCGGGCTAGAACTGGTCTTCAGCAACCCATGCGTGTGGAAAGCCGACATATAGCTGGAATATTGCTGAGTGCGGTGTAAAACAAAATTAAACTCACTCTCTTGTGGAAGGAGGCGACTAAGGGGATCGGGTGGTCAGGCTCGCTGACTTTGTTGATACATGTCATCATATCACAGTTGCATAGATCGATGCTCATGCTGTTGATCACTAGATTGTCTGGTCCAGACTCGATTATTTACAGACCGGCGCCATATAGCTGGAAAGCTGAAAAAGGGCTGGTAGAGTAGCCCAGTGGTCAAAGCATTCGCTCATCATGCCGAAGACCTGGGTTCAATGATGTGTGTAGCCCATTTCTGGTGTCCCCCACCATGATATTGCTGGAATATTGCTAGAAGAGGTGTAAAATTGAAAGTCACTCACTCACTCAGAAAGTGTGCCTACTCATTATTGTGACACTCTCAACAAGAATGTTTTAATGGGTACCTAGTATTTATTGGAAGTGTTTAAACTGAAGTCTACCCGTGAAGATCTGGGTTAGAATTGATCTTTAGTAGCCCATGCTTGTTGTAAGAAGCGACTAATGTGATCGCGTGGTCAGTCTCGCTGACTTGATTAACACATGTCATTGTATCCCAGTTGCATAGACTGATGCTCATGCTGTTGATCACTGGATTGTCTGGTCCAGACTTGATTATTAACAGACCGCTGCCATATAGCTGGAATATTGTTGAGTGTGGCGTAAAACTAAACTCACTCACTCACTAAACTGAAGTCTTACTTTACAGGAGTAAACGTGAGAAGCGTCAGGATTTTGCTCGACAGTCTGTGGAGAAGATGGATAATGAGATGGAGGCGTGGAGACAGGACCTGGTGCATCGCAGGAAGCAGGTGACCAACTTCATCCTCATCCTGGTGGGGTAGCCTAGAGGTTAAAGCGTTGGCTTGTCATGCCGAAGACCCCGGTTCGAATCCCCACATGGGTACAATGTGTGAAGCCCATTTCTGGTGTTCCCTGCCGTGATGTTGCTGGAATATTGCTTAAAACAGCGTAAAACCAAACTCAGTCAGTCAGTCATCCTTCAGGATGTGATTTCACTATTTACAACCTGCACTGGTACATGTTAACAATGGCTGGTGCAGGTTCTTCAGTAACAGGTTGCACCTGGTGCAGGTAACAAAAAATCCTCCAACCTCTTATAGCTGCCATCGTGTGTTTTAATTGAGAAGTAAGTGACCAAAAGTAATACCTTTCTCTCCACATGACTTGTTACAAGCAGAAACATTAGTGTACTCATAAATCAGTAATGTAGCAGTATCATATGATTGAGATTTGTAGATAAAGGTTAGGCCAGACCGATTTTATTTCTTGTTTTACGGATCCGCCAGTCGTACTTTTTCAAGAATAAGAAAAAAATTATAATTAATTTTACCTGCTCAAAAAATAAATTCCTCAAGTTTTTATTTGCCAAAAATGTAAACTTCCAAGAAAAATTTTTTAGATTGTTTTTTTTTGCCCACTGTACACTTCATAAATTGCCAAAAGTAAAATACTTTTAGTACTTAGAAGGACTATTACTTTGACTAGTGATGTTTTTATTTATTATTTTTCCTCCTGCCTTTAGGTTTTCTGAGGACATAAATGCATAAAACAAGAAATAAAATTGGTCTGGCCTTATGCAATATTGAAACGGAATCATCCATCTTTATAATTATGGGTCAGATTCTGTTAAATGTATCTGATACTGAGTTCTTGTTGTAAAAATTGCTAAACAAGTATTTATGGTACATTTTAGAACCAGTGACATTATTTTATGGTGCAACCAAGATTTTGATGGTGCAGCCGAACCAGGTTGCTCTTGGTGCAGGTAGTAAAAACCCGAAATCGCACTCTGTCCCCAGTGTCTGTTTTCAGGCTTGTTACAAATAAATTGATATTCCATGGGGACTCTGGGATAGAATAGATCTACATAACCTTTGTTTGTCATAGGATAATGATAATAATAATAATAATGTGGCCACTTATGTAGTGCTGAACACCTCGACACACGGGCATGCTCTAAGCACATACAGCATGAGGTCGTTATTACCCTGGATAAGAAGGTTAACAGTCATATTTTTATTTTGTTTATTATTATTGCATATTTATATAGCGCATATATCCACGCACTAGTGCATGCTCAAGACGCTGGTATTTTTTTTCCCTCAATCATTGGATGTCAATCTCAATGGCACATCGTATTATCAATCCCAACTCCCTGGGGATCATACAACTCCCTGGGGATCATACAACTCTTGCTGCCACAATGTGCACCCAGTTATTGAGGCTTTCCCATCCTTACGAGGTACCCATTCACAGCTGGGTGGACTGGGATACATAGTCACAGTACTTTGTCCAAGTTTACTGCGCCTTGCTGCACCCGCAACTAGGTATTTGCACGTATTCATGTGGCCACCATCTGGTCACTTACCAATGGATTCGTGGGTTCTTCTAAGTGCACAGGGTGTGTACTGTACTCTAGGGGTTGTGACAACACTGAAAGAGTCTGCACACAAAGTTGACTCCAAGGTTTTTACACTCAGTCACAGGTGGGCCGATCCCGGCGCCTCATGACTGCTGGATCACTAGCCTGGCGCCTTATCCAGCTCGCCACTGCGCCCACCACGCCCACAGCCCCACAGTCATATGACGTATCCCACCAGGTACCCAGTTTCTGCTGGGTGAACAGAGGCAATTTTAAACAAACTCACTTGCCTAAGGTGAGACCACATGTATCACATGTGCTTCGTTGTGAAGCAGGACTCAAGTCCTGGAAACTCTCTGGAGTCAAGCTGCCAAACACGGTCACCTATCCAAGGACTCTCTGCACCCAACTTCACCTGATTTGTGAGCTGGGCTCTGTGCACAAGACCACACACAACCATGTGATATTGAAGTTGTTCACCAGTCACAAGGGGACATGGGTTGTTATCTTACCTCACCCATAAATGTCTTTTTCTGATTGGCTGAGCACTCTTCTATTATTTTCAATGTACCCCACTGTCAATGACAACTCATTTGGTACTTCGTGATACTAATTCTTTATCTCGAATAACATTGAATAACGTATGATGTACAGAAATTACCGATGTTTTGCGAATGCAAATCGACTCAGATGTACCCCCGATGTTTGTTTATGTTCCCCTCACCCTTCAGGCTCTGGGAACATAAACAAACATCGAGGGTACATCAACCCATGTACCCCAAGGGACCTGTGAACAACTTATAATGTACCCTCTGTTTGTATATAAACAAACATCAAGGGTACATCAACCCATGTTCCCCTCGTGACCGGTGAACAACTTATAATGTACCCTCTGTTTGTATATAAACAAACATCGAGGGTACATCAACCCATGTACCCCAAGGGACCAGTGAACAACTTATAATGTACCCTCTGTTTGTATATAAACAAACATCAAGGGTACATCAACCCATGTACCCCAAGGGACCAGTGAACAACTTATAATGTACCCTCTGTTTGTATATAAACAAACATCGAGGGTACATCAACCCATGTTCCCCAAGGGACCAGTGAACAACTTATAATGTACCCTCTGTTTGTATATAAACAAACATCGAGGGTACATCAACCCATGTACCCCAAGGGACCAGTGAACAACTTATAATGTACCCTCTGTTTGTATATAAACAAACATCAAGGATACATCAACCCATGTTCCCCTCGTGACCTGTGAACAACTTATAATGTACCCTCTGTTTGTATATAAACAAACATCAAGGGTACATCAACCCATGTTCCCCTCGTGACCTGTGAACAACTTATAATGTACCCTCTGTTTGTATATAAACAAACATCAAGGGTACATCAACCCATGTTCCCCTCGTGACCAGTGAACAACTTATAATGTACCCTCTGTTTGTATATAAACCAACATCGAGGGTACATCAACCCATGTACCCCAAGGGACCAGTGAACAACTTATAATGTACCCTCTGTTTGTATATAAACAAACATTGAGGGTACATCAACCCATGTACCCCAAGGGACCAGTGAACAACTTATAATGTACCCTCTGTTTGTATATAAACAAACATCGAGGGTACATCAACCCATGTTCCCCTCGTGACCGGTGAACAACTTATAATGTACCCTCTGTTTGTATATAAACAAACATCAAGGGTACATCAACCCATCTTCCCCAAGGGACCAGTGAACAACTTATAATGTACCCTCTGTTTGTATATAAACAAACATTGAGGGTACATCAACCTATGTTCCCCTCGTGACCGGTGAACAACTTATAATATACCCTCTGTTTGTATATAAACAAACATCGAGGGTACATCAACCCATGTTCCCCTCGTGACCGGTGAACAACTTATAATGTACCCTCTGTTTGTAAATAAACAAACATCGAGGGTACATCAACCCATGTACCCCAAAGGACCAGTGAACAATCTATTTATCTTACAATCACCTCAATGGTAATTTCGCACTGTTTGAAGCACAGTTATCGGATCATAATAAGCAGTACCAGAGTTAGGCAATTAGCCACTAACGACAGAGGACAAGAAAAACAAATTTAGAGTTATCTCCCTCCCATGGATTTGCGTTCGCAAAACATCAGTAATTTCCATACAACATACGTGACTCAATTATTCGAGATAAAGAATTACTAATATGAAGTACCAAATGAATTCCCACTGTTCGACATTCCCAGCAGATAACATAGAAAATGTTACTTGTAAGCGGGGTACACTGAAAATAATAGAAGAGCACTCAGCCAATCAGAAAGCGACATTTATGTGTGAGGTAAGATAATGATGATTGTGGCACTAAACAATGCAATTTTTTTTTTTTTGTACAACGGCACCCAGGGCACTAAAACTACACAAGTCCCAGCCATTCTGTTGTCAGCCAAACAAAAAACCACTATTTCTTTTCTGCTTATGTAAAATATATGCTTAGTGATCCTCACATTCATTTGCAATCTGTTCATGGCTTAGCTGGAGAGGAAGGCCAGCGAGAGTGTGGAGCGACGGCGACAAGAGGCGTCACATAGACTCCAGGAGGAACGCAAGGCCAGGGACAAGGAACACAGAGTTAACATAAAAAAGTTAGTAGTGAAATAGATGTAGACTAGTGTTTAAACTGTTCATGTCGTTTGTCATGTCGAAGACCTGGGACTGATTCCCCACATGGGTACAATGTGTAAATCCCATTTCTGGTGACCCCAGCAGTTATATTGCTGGAATCTTGCTAAAAGCGGGATAAAACTCACTCACTCGCTCGCTCGCAATATGTTAAGCTCATTACCGGTGTCCCCCGCCACGATAGTGCTGGAATATTGCTATAAGTGGCGTAAAACTCACTCACTCACTCACTCGCTCGCTCGCAATATGTTAAGCTCATTACTGGTGTCCCCCGCCACGATAGTGCTGGAATATTGCTATAAGTGGCGTAAAACTCACTCACTCACTCACTCACAATATGTTTCGCTCGCTCGCAATATGTTAAGCTCATTACTGGTGTCCCCCGCCACGATAGTGCTGGAATATTGCTATAAGTGGCGTAAAACTCACTCACTCACTCACTCGCAATATGTGAAGCTCATTACTGGTGTCCCCCGACACGATAGTGCTGGAATAGTGCTATAAGTGGCGTAAAACCATACTCACTCACTCACTCGCGATATGCGAAGCTCATTACTGGTGTCCCCCGCCACGATAGTGCTGGAATAGTGCTATAAGTGGCATAAAACCATACTCACTCACTCACTCACTAACAGTGGTATAAACTTGTATTTCAAGTTTGATAATGGTATTGAGTATTCGATGCTAGGAAAATTGGAAGGGTGAAGGTGAAAGTTTGAAATAGGAATGGAATAATCAATGATGCCAGCAAAAACATGTTTGTGGATGTGAACATGTATGCTGCTCAAAATAGAAGGTAAAGAATGCTGACTTACTAAAGTTATATGAAGGCAAAGAATCAGATGTTCTCTAACATGTTTTGAGTAATATAATGATATTTCTCATCCAAAACTGTGTTCCACAGGAGATATTGCTTGTGTGAAATCAAATGATATCTCCTAGGACAGTAGATTTTGTACAATGCTATGATGTCATGAACTTGATGACATCACAATGCTATGGCATCGCTGCAATGCAAGTATAATGGCAGTACCGTGTTCAGAGACGTTCATTTTTCATTGAAAACTAATGGAGATTGATTTTTGATGATAAAGAGAATCTCACCTTTGTGCCTTCTGATATCAAATATATCAACACTCATTGATAAATGTAAAAATATCCTCAGCAAGCCTCGGATATTTGTAACTTTATCAACTCGTGGTGATATATTTGATATCAAAAGACACTCAGATGAGATTCTCTATATCTATGTAAGGGCAAAACAGGTAAGTTTCGGGGGTAATTGATGATTGGTCAATATTTTCAGACTACTTTCACCTCCCTTAGCTGTAAACAAAGCTATTTGTTCCAGCAATATATAAGTTACTTAAAATTCCACCAAGAAATGGTGAAACTTATATATTTTGCAGAATTTAAAGCAATAAATGTTAGCACTACTTTGTTATGTGCTTGTTTCTTCTGACGTAATGGTGTCACTCGGTCACTCTTCCATCACTGTTGTTCGCTTGGATGTATTCATACGCAAGACTTCAAATGAACTTGTTACAGGTGACGTTTCGTTTTTATTTCTCTTGGGCGACAAAATTAAGTATGACAGATAGAATCTCCCCCCTAGTGTCTCACGAGATATGTATTTTAGCTGTGTAATATTTTGATTCATTGTGACAAAGCCAACGTGTGGTTGAGAAAGATGTGCGTGTTGCCAGGGTGCACAAGGAGCTGGCAAAATGGGAACATGGTCTGAGGTCTGAGATTGAACTGAAGGACAAGAAGTCCCAGATGTTGCAGGAAGAGAAGGATGCAAATATCTTGCAGGTAGGTCTTGCAAATGTCTGTATAGAATTGTGTTGACTTGTGGTCCAAATTTCGAGGAGGTGACTACACCTCATTTGCATATCGGATTGGAGTTGGTCCGTATGCTGGTCTCAAGGTGACATATGGTATATCAATGCGTTGGTAAATGAGTGAAGCCCATTTCTGGTGTCCCCTGCCGTGATATTGCTGGAATATTGCTAAAAGCGGCGTAAAACTAAACTCAGTCAGTCAGTCAATGCGTTGGTCTGATACCCAGTGATATTGTTCAGAAAAAAATCAAATTTTGTATGAGATATTGTTCCATGAAATATCCTGGGATGTAAGCTTCCAACTGCTGGTGAATTCCTTGTTCTTACTATACATGTTTTGCAAATATAGATTGATTGATTGATCCTCGCCTTGGTTACGATTGCCAAGGCAACTGGCTTGGTGAGTCAGAAGTAAGAAGGAAAGGGGTCGTCTCAAATATTCCTAAATAATTTGGCATATATCACAAACACATTTTCATTACAAATTTAGGGGTCATGTTTGCGCTGATGATATGTTTCGTTCAGGGTGGTGTTATAGACCGGGTTTATATATAGCCTTGACTTTGATGGCTCGAAGAGGGGGGTTGTCTTTGAGTGTGGTCGCACTATACGCAGCGATATATGGTATTGGGTCAGTTGGTCAGACTAGCTGACCTGATGAGTTATCATCATGGTCGCATGTGTTAGGTACCATTGAGGTTTCCCAAATGAAACCCCTTTCTAAATGGTGTGCTAGTCTGTGTGGGGAATTAGCTCAGCAAAGAGTCCGAAGTCACAAGAATCTAATTACAATTTAATTAACAAAAACATGGTATGGCCACAGAGTTGGTACAATCCTCTGGGCTTAGGGCTAGAGCTAACTTGTGTTGGGAGAGTCTAAACCCTACTGATTTCCTAACTATTTATTTAGAATTGAAACAATAAAAAGATTATGATTCCTTTGATGGGCATTTCAGAAGTTGAGGTGATGAAGAATGGTGACAATTTTTATGGAAATACAACTTCTTTAATTCTGTGAAAGGTGATGTTTCGACATAGATTCTAATGTCATTGCATATCCATAAAAATTGGCATAATTCTTCAGACTATGATTCGTTGATGATACAAAATGGGCGTGCCCTATAATAACCAATGAAATGACCAGACAAAGGGGAGTACTTAATCCTGCTAATCCTAATTCAACTGGCACTTGGGTTGATAGAGAATACTACACGAGGTCTCATTACACACGAATTATACAAAACGAGTGTCCTTCCTATGGTATTTGACCGAGTGAAAGCGAGGTCAGATAGCATAGGAAGGTCAGGAGTTTCGTATAATTCGTATGTAATATGACCGAGTGTGGTATTTTATTTATTACCCACGTCTTACATGCATTAAATTGACAAAATAGCGTATTTTTTTTAATATTTTGGTTTCAAACCGAAACCGGTTTCATAAAGAGGTTGGGGAAGAGTTTTGTACTGTAGTACAATATTTGCATGACGTCACACTGTAATGACATCACTGCCTTGATAACCGACTTCACGATGCATGTCAGTTGTCATCTCCTACAGTAAACTACTCCGTAGCACCCCGTTTCTTGGTTTGCAGTTGCCTCATTCGGCTGGTGGAAGCATTGCGCTTATGTTTTTCGACGGATATAATGTCTCAGTTCGACTCATAACGTTCGCGATGTTTACATTCCCACAATGCATTTAAGTTGTAGAATGAATGAATTCACATGTTTGTTATGAATGAAAAAATAGTTATGTCAGAATGTGACCTAATTGAGAGGTCATCGGTTATCCAATCAAATCGTTAGAATCTCAGGTCAAGTCGTTACGACACAGGTCAACGCGATACGACACTTGTGTGATGTACGAGATAAGTATGCAACTACCCATACGTTGACCATGTGGGAAATAAACACATTTACTGGACGCTTGGATGATTATGGTACAGTAGACACGCTTACTCTGGGTTAAATCTTAATGAGCCTAAATTGAAGTGTCTAATATAGGTGATGACATGTTTACCTTATAAAATAAATCATGGCAATTTATGAAACAGTGTAGACATACAATGTAGTTTTTGTCTTACTTAAAAGTAAGTCTAAAAGACGAGTCCTTATTACCTTTGGCTAGGATTTATCTAGAACCATCTTTTAAACTATGTAGATGTAACTTATACCTTTTTCAACAGTATGTCTCTGAGATGAATTCTTATTACTTTTGACTGGAGTCTTTCTCTTAGCTATTACTAATCATGATAAAACAAACATTCTATATTTATGTATTCCTAATATCTGAATCCTAACATATTTTGTAGTAGTAATAATTGATAATGAATTTTTGTATAAATTACGACTCCATGATAGTATTTCAAGGTACCCTGGTACCATAGATCGTTGCTCATATAGTCGACCACTGGTTTGTCTGGACCTGACTTGATTATTTAGGGGCTGCTGTCAGGGCTCCAAATAAGGGCTGTATCGGTGTATGTACTGATAAAGAATATGCACGATACGGTAGGAAATAATTTAGAAAACGTAGCAGATACGCACTACAGCAATGGTGTACTGTCTCAGAATCATTTACAGAAAAAGTATTGTTTTATTGTTTATTGACCTGTTTACACAAGAGTAGCAATGTTGTGGTGCATATATGAAGTGAAACACAAGATTACTGGTACGCCATTAATTTCCATTCAGTACTCTAAATGTACACTTAAGGTTTTCCAGTACTCCTATATTGAAAAAAATAAGGAGTATGTACTCCTGATGTTGAAAACTTACCTGGAGCCCTGTGGCTGCTGTCATACAGCTGCACTATGCTGAGTACCCACATAGCAAGAACTAGGCTCTATGATTACAGCTTGCCAACACTTACACTCCGTTGCTTTCATTTGAGACTGATGAATTGCTCACTAACACAAAATCTAATAATTGCAATAAAACCAGATTTTGCACAGTCACATGAAATCAACAGACCAACTCTGATGTGCGTGTATACATTTTAAAATACAACTGATATAGCTATGAGATAACTCGTAGTGGCAAATCTGAGCAGACATTGATGCTATGAATATACTCGTGGCGGCAGTCAACGTGTTTACAAAAGATCATTATTTTGTTGTCACTTTTTGCTATTTTTTACGAGGGGGCACCACTTGTTGGTAGAACAGCCAGGTAATCAACAAGCATGTGTAGTGAAATTTCAATTTCACACGTGCAACTCACACGTGATCTATGTGTGGTATGCATGTTCTGTGTGTGATGTGCATGATCTATGTGTAGTATGCATGATCTTTTGTGTTGCATGATTTGTATGGCATGCATTATGTATCTCTGGTATGCATGTATACATTATCTGTGTGGCATGCATGATGTATCTGTGGTGTGCATGTGTACATGATCTGTGTGGCATAAATGATGTATCTGTGGTATGCATGTATACATGATCTGTATGGCATGCATGATGTATCTGTTGTATGCATGTATACATGATCTGTGTGGCATGCATGATGTATCTGTGGTATGCATGTATACATAATCTGTATGGCATGCATGATGTATCTGTTGTATGCATGTATACATGATTTGTGTGGCATGCATGATGTATCTGTGGTATGCATGTATACATGATCTGTGTGGCATGCATGATGTATCTGTGGTATGCATGTATACATGATCTGTGTGGCATGCATGATGTATCTGTTGTATGCATGTATACATGAATTGTGTGGCATGCATGATGTATCTGTTGTATGCATGTATACATGATCTGTGTGGCATGCATGATGTATCTGTGGTATACATGTGTACATGATCTGTGTGGCATGCATGATGTATTTGTGGTAGGCATGTGTACATGATCTGTGTGGCATGCATGATGCATCTGTGTTAGGCATGTATACATGATCTGTGTGGCATGCATAATCTATATATAGTGTATATATTGTGTGCATAATCTATGTGTGGTAGGCATGGTATGCATGATCTACATATTGAATGCATGGTGTATGCATGATCTGTTTGTTATGCATGGTCTGTGTGTGTGGCATGCATGGTCTATGTGCGGTAAGCATAAACTACATATGGTATGCATGGTTTATTCATGGTATGCATTGATTATTCATGGTATACATGATATGTGTGTGCTATGCTAGGTCTGTATGTGCTGTGCATGGTTGTTGTGCTATGCATGATCTGTGTGCTATGCATGATGCATGCATGGTCTGTGTGTGCTATGTATGATGTATGCATGATCTGTATGTGGCATGCATGGTCTATGTGTGCTATGCATGGTCTGTGTGTGGTATACATTGTCTATGTGTGATATGTGGAATACATGGTCTAGGCATGGTATATGTATGCTTCGTCTAAGCATGATGTGTTTTTTCGAAATATGAACAAAGGAAGCTCCATCATGGTAATGTTAGATCTGAAAAACATGCTTATCAAATAATGGCAACTCCTATTTTCAGACAAGAGCAGTTGCTGAGGCAACGCAGAAGCTGAGAGATGATGTTCGCCACAAGTATGACAATGAAACAATCGGTCAGAAGGCACTTCAAGCTGAGCTGTATTCCAAGATTGGCACAGGAGTTGTGTCTGCAGTAAAAAATTCATCAAGTTTACGATTTGGCTAAGTGGGGACTGACTATTACACATCACTTCTGCTGATGAACATGTGAAGAACATACTTCAAGACCATGTTAATATCGACTGTTAATCATTCTGTCATTTTCTCAAAATTCCTTTCCTTTCTGTGATGATTTAAGGTGGACTTGTAAGATGGAGGACCCTTGGGATTTCTAAATTTTTAGTGAGTGAGTATGGTTTTATGCCACTTTTAGCAATATTTCAGCAATATCACGGCAGGGAACACCAGAAATTGGCTTCCCACATTGTACCCATGTGGGGAATTGAACCCGGGTCTTTGGTGTGATGAGCAAACGCTTTAACCACAAGACTACCCCACCACACTCCAAATTTTTAGGAACAGTGGTGTAGGCTAGTGGTGAAAGCGTTACCTCTCCCGCTGATGGCCTGGATTCGATCCCTCACATGGGTACAATGTGGGAAGCCATTTCTAGTGTCCCATGCTGGGATATTGCTAAAATCAGCATAAAACCATAATCACTCACTCACTCTAAATTTTTAATCTTGAAATTAAAATTTGTACCATTTCAATATCATCATTTGGATCTTTTATCCCAAATCTTTTATTCCAAATAAGAGATATGACTTTATTTCATATGGCAATACTCATGTTATTTCACATCTCATTGCTGTTGTCATGATGACATTGTTTTGTCTACACAAAATTTCAACAGTCCATATTGTTCATTTACTACTGTTATAACTTTTAAGGATTACAGTTTATTTTAGCCTTTGGTTATAATTTATATTCCAGCTTACCCAAGTTTTATTTTGGATATTTGGTTGAACACAAGCAGGATCTATTCTTTTCTCTTTTACACATTTTATACATGGACCTGTTGATATGAATTAAATTCCTTAATGATTAACTGGCACAGAAACTAGTGTCTGTCAGAAATATTTTTGTAACCATTTTGTTGTCATTTGTTATTTTAAGTGATATTTGTACATAGTTATACTGTTTTTGTGTTATGTTCATAGTGATAGTTTTTGTGAAAATATTATCTGTGATAGGATTCTATTTACAGTTGTCCAGAAAAATCACTGGCATTTTATTTAAGTCATCTGTCATCTCTACTTCTTCATTGACGTGATTTGCTAAAATTATTGTCATATTTGGCCAGGGTTATTTGTATTTTGACTTTTTCATGTCCCCGACTAAAATGGCAATGTGCGGAAATACTTACATTAAGCATGCAGATACACAAATCATTTCGATTTAAAGGTAATAATAATAATAATAAATAACATAATAATGACTATTTTGTATAGCGGACTTTCACCACAAGGGCAATGTTCAAAGCTGAAGAGTCACGATTCATATGTAAAGGAAAATACAAGGATTTATAAAACAGCGTTGAAAAAGGTGTGTTTTGAGTCTGTATTTGAAGCGTGGCAGAGTTAGTACTAGTTTTAGATCAAGAGGCAGAGAGCCGAAAAGGGTAACAGCTGCATACTGAGAGGACTTGGCTCCAAACAATTTGAGTTTATAAGTAGGTATAAGGTAGCTTAAGAATTGGGCCTAAATTTTGATATACTTCTCACCTTTTTCCAAAACAAAAACCTACAACAATATACTGTTGACAATGGGACATATGAAACATCCTAATACTCTTACAAAATTTAGGGCAAATCCCCTCTCCCGAAGCAAAAACAAAGTCTGTTAACGTTTTAGTATTGACAGAAAATTGCATTTTAAGGATGGTCTAATATGACCAAACAAAGCAAAACCATTATTCCGTACAACTATTAAAAGATTGCTAAATGCCCTGTCAGGTAGATGTTTAAAGGACATTTTTATTTGCTGCAGCCATGTTCTTTTTGTGAGCTCAGGTATCACAGACCCGACGTAGCGACATTCATGTCGCTATGACATTCGTAAGACTATAATAAACTATGGAGTTACGACAGGTCGTAATGTTACGAACATTTTGTGGATCGCTATGACATTCGTAAGACGATGATAAACTATGGTGTTACGACAGGTTGTAATGTTACAAACACTTTGTGGATCGCTCCGACATTCGTAAGACGATGATAAACTACGGTGTTACGACAGGTTGTAATGTTACGAACATTTTGTGGATCGCTATGACATTCATAACACGATGATAAACTACGGTGTAACGACAGGTAGTAATGCTACGGACATTTTGTAGATCGCTATGGCATTCATAACACGATGATAAACTAAGGTGTTACGACAGGTTGTAATGTTACAAACACTTTGTGGATCGCTATGACATTCATAACACGATGATAAACTACGGTGTTACGACAGGTTGTAATGCTACGAACATTTTGTAGATCGTTATTACATTTGTAACACAATGATAAACTACGGTGTTACGACAGGTTGTAATGTTACAAACACTTTGTGGATCGCTATGACATTCATAACACGATGATAAACTACGGTGTTACGACAGGTTGTAATATTACGAACATTTTGTGGATCGCTATGACATTCGTAACACGATGATAAACTACGGTGTTACGACAGGTTGTAATGTTACGAACATTTTGTGGATCGCTATGACATTCTTAAGACGATGATAAACTACGGTGTTACGACAGGTAGTAATGCTACGAACATTTTGTAGATCGCTATGGCATTCATAACACGATGATAAACTAAGGTGTTACGACAGGTTGTAATGTTACAAACACTTTGTGGATCGCTATGACATTCATAACACGATGATAAACTACGGTGTTACGACAGGTTGTAATGTTATGTACACTTTGTGGATGGGGGACCCAGGTGTATCACTTTATTTTGGTCCTGCTACTGGAAAAACTGTTACTCAAAGTTCAAGTGAGAATTATTGTGAAATGAATGAGAGTTCCTGCAGCCTGTTAAATGTTAATATCTGGGCTTCGAATACTTATTACGACCTGCAGATCTGAAAACATGTTATGTTGTATCAATTTTTCCTGTGCATTTTATAACCATTTTATTTTAGGGCTAATTGGCTGAACTATACTTCTGTGTTATACTTAGCCAGAATGGAATTAACTGCCAGTAAGCGAAAATTCTTTTAGATAATAATGACAATGCCTTTGAAGGCATCAGTAGAAATGAAAATGTCAACAAAAACTAAAACTGTCATAGTTTTTTTTAAATGCATGCCTATTTGCATACATGTGTTATATGACTTAAATGTTTAACTTTGATTCCTGGAAGAAATGGGGTGGTGGGGTAGCCAAGTGGTTAAAGTGTTCGCTCGAATATTGCTAAAAACAACGTAAAACTAACCTCACTCACTCACTCACTCACTCACTCACTGAAGGACCATGGTAGCTGAGTGGTTGATGTGTTCACTTGCTACAGCAAAGGCTTAGGTTCAATTCCCTACATGTGTTCCATATGTGAGGGGTGGTGGGGCAGCCAAGAGGAAGTGTTTGTTCATCACGCTGAAGACCTGAATTCGATTCCCCACATGGATACAATGTGTCAACCCATTTCTGGTGTCCCCCCATTGCTGGATTATTGCTTAAGGTAGTGTAAAAGATACTCACTCACTTGCAATATGTGAATACCATTTCTGGTGTCCCTTGGTGGGTTATTGCTGAAATCGTAGTCACTCGCTCGTATGTTAGTAGGGAAATATATAATATATCAGAGTGAGTGAGTTTAGTTTTACGCCGCACTGAACAATATTCCAGCGGCACAATAACCAAGATGTAGCTTCAATGGCTGAACATGCTGAAATGATGTAATCTTAAACTTCAAATATTTTAAGAAAGGCATTACAATGGAATTGTTTCTCTTGTATAGCTAGTGAGTTGTTACTCTTGTATAGTGAGTGAGTATGGTTTTACGCCGCTTTTAGCAATATTCCAGCAATATCACGGCGGGGGACACCCAGGTCTTTGGCGTGATGAGCAAATGCTTTAACCACTAGGCTACCCTGCAGCCTCTTGTTACTCTTGTGTGTTTAGGGATCATAAATATACATTGGGGGAGAAAAATGAATTGAAATACTTTCTTGTTAGTATATGATGTTTAAGATATGGTTGGTTTGTTGGTCTTAACAGTTACGTGAAAAAATGACAAAACTTAAGTCATATTTATCAACAGACTTAGTCTTAAGTTTTATCACAAAACTTAAGTCAAACAATGAGAACTAAGTTTTATAAGTTTTTTGAATGACTTAAGTTGTTACATTAAATACATCCCCAAGGTCGGATTCCCTACATTGGTGGAACATTTGAAACCCATTTTTGGTGCCTAGCTACAATATGGATGGGTAATGATAAAAGCCGTGTACAACCACATTCACCAACTACAGGGACTCTTCCGGTCGTCTCTTCCTGTTTTGACTTTCGAGGAAGGATGGTTGTTTAACGCCACAAAGCCAACGCCTTTACCCTCTAGGGTACCCCTCGAACCTGACTTACAGAGAGCGCCACAAGCCCGCCTGACCCTCTTGGGTACCCCTCCGAACCTGACTTACAGAGAATGATCCCGACTGTTTGAGAAAGTGCAGGTTTATGTGACACAGGCCAGTTCTGAATCACCATGCTTCCAACCGACTTGAATATATTCTCCAGAAATTAATCAAAGATGTTGACATAAAGAGAATCAGATTGGTTCACATGAGCATTGTATCCCTTCTTGTATACCACACATGCATTGGTTAGAACATACCTTGTCTGATGGACTCACTGATGCTCACACAATCACTTTTTCCTGTTCAACGAAACCAATGTTGCCTGCCCACAATGCATATATTCATTTACATGAAATAAAAAAGCTTTTGAAAGTATGTGTTTCTTTTTTACTTCACAACATTTTGGGATATTTCTGTTGCCATAGATTCTTCAGTGTTGGTACCCTGATTAAAACTGGTTAAAACGTCTGCTTTCATGACCAAGGTCATGTCCCTGAGGCAAGAGAGATAACTGACTTTTAAGTCCAATTCCCACCCTTGCCAAATAGGGCTGGAATTTTTAGACATATTTGGATTTGGCTTAGAAGTATCTGCATAGTTCAATCAAAATCATGTAAAAATAAATAAATCATGTTTGTTTAATAATATTTCATAATGTTGGTATTTTTTAAATTGTTATTTGTAAAATGAAGTTCTGAAGAGTTCGGTTTCATGATCTATACACTTTGACTATTTGGGAAGGAATCTAATCCAGGATTTACCTCTTTAGTGATCCTTGTGATGCAAATCTTTAATGTTTACGAATTTGGAAGAAATTCTGGGACAGATATGCAGAGAAATCAAAAAGGGTTAACCAGGATTCAAGTGAGAATTGTTTTACGCCGCTTTTAGCAATATTCCAGCAACATCATGGCGAGGGACTCCTGAAATAGGCTTCTTACATTGTTTCCATGAGGGGAATCGAACCCGGGCCCTCCACGTGACAAGTGAATGTTTTTACCACTAGGCTACCCCATCGCCCTAACTGGGATTCAAACCCAATACCAGCGGCTTCTGGCAGGCCTAATAATGAGTTAACGTGACCTTGCAATGCCTCAAACAACTGGGTCCCCAGTGTCTCCCTGTTTTTTTTAACAGTATTTACATTACAATGTATGTCATATTGATGTGGGTGAAGGATCAAAGAGATGCATGTCTTTAACACTATATGGAGAAATCCAGGGATACAGAGAAAACCAGGGACACAGAAAAACAGACATGGGGAAAACCAGGGACACGGGGAAAACCACGGACATGGAGAAATCCATGGATACGGAGAAACCCAAGGAAAAAGAAAACCACTGTCATTGAGAAAACCAGGGATACGGAGAAAACCAGGGACATGGAGAATACCAGGGACATGGAGAATACCAGGGGTACAGAGAAAACTAGGGACATGGAGAATACCAGGGGTACAGAGAAAACTAGGGACATGGAGAATACCAGGGGTACAGAGAAAACCAGGGACATGGAGAATACCAGGGGTACAGAGAAAACTAGGGACATGGAGAATACCAGGGGTACAGAGAAAACTAGGGACATGGAGAATACCAGGGGTACAGAGAAAACCAGGGACATGGAGAATACCAGGGGTACAGAGAAAACTAGGGACATGGAGAATACCAGGGGTACAGAGAAAACTAGAGACATGGAGAATACCAGGGGTACAGAGAAAACTAGGGACATGGGGAATACCAGAGGTACAGAGAAAACCAGGGACATGGAGAATACCAGGGGTACAGAGAAAACTAGGGACATGGAGAATACCAGGGGTACAGAGAAAACTAGGGACATGGAGAATACCAGGGGTACAGAGAAAACTAGGGACATGGAGAATACCAGGGGTACAGAGAAAACCAGGGACATGGAGAATACCAGGGGTACAGAGAAAACTAGGGACATGGAGAATACCAGGGGTACAGAGAAAACTAGGGACATGGAGAATACCAGGGGTACAGAGAAAACTAGGGACATGGAGAATACCAGGGGTACAGAGAAAACTAGGGACATGGGGAATACCAGGGGTACAGAGAAAACCAGGGACATGGAGAATACCAGGGGTACAGAGAAAACTAGGGACATGGAGAATACCAGGGGTACAGAGAAAACTAGGGACATGGGGAAAACCAGGGACACAGAAAAACACGGACATAGTGAAATCCATGGATACGGAAAAACCCAAGGAAAAAGAAAACCAGGGACACGGAGAAAACCAGGGACACGGAGAATTCCAGGGATACTGAGAAATCAAGGGATACGGAGAAAACCAGACATGGGGAAAACCAGGGACCTGGGGAAAACCACGGACATGGAGAAATCCATGGATACGGAGAAACCCAAGCAAAAAGAAAACCAGGGACATGGAAAAAACAGGGATACGGAGAAAACCAGGGATACAGAGAAATCTAGGCATACAGTGAAAATTCTGGATATGAAATTGTCATTCATCATCTGATTGAGGTCATCACCATGAACCCGAATTTTGATCTCACAGGTTTGAAACCGATGAGCGATCCTTGTCAAATTATCTTCCCTTCACTAATCGGCTAGGTGCGCTGGTCTGGAGGGTCCCCCATTAAACTGACTGAGCATGTCGTATGCGCAATGCAAGCTGTACGTGCTACTATTACACTTACAGTTATTTAACCAGTATTGCCATCACCTTCATCAGGAATGTTCACTACTGTGCATGTCAAGTGTCACGTCCTTCCGTGATTCCATGATACATCATGGCCCAAATCCACGAAACGTTCGTAGCGCTACAACATTCGCAAGCCTTTAATAAACTGAAGGGTTACGACAGGTCGTAACGTCACAAATGCTTTGTGGACCGAGACCCAGGGCCAGTCATGATATCTAATACTGCAATAATCTCACATAATTACGAAACTATGCACGGCGTCCATAGCTGACCTTTGATACCAGATGGTGGGTAACCAGCCTACATGTGATAGGTCTGATTGAGGTCACTTTGGGTGACAAACATCGACTACAACATGTCGAGTTAGTTATTGAGTGTCTGTCATTACAGATTAACTTCATCTCAACTGATTACAAAAATCTTGACTTTTCACGAATCGATCCAAAATTTAAAAAGTCTTCAGCCATGTTTGATTATTTGACCTCCACTGACATTGAGTGAGTGAGTGAGCACCCAGCATATGGCGAGGGTCTGTAAATAATCCAGTCTGGGCCATACAATCCAGTGATCAACAACATGAACATCGTTCTGCGCAATTTGGAACCGATGACATATGTCAACCAAGTCAGCGAGCCTGACCACCCCATCCTATTAGTCGCCTTTTGTGGCAAGCATGGGTTGCTGAAGACCTATTCTACCCCAGATCTTCACGGGTCAGATTTTGCATTGTATTCGATACTGTTTAAAGGTACTGTTTACACATGAAGTGATGTATTGTAAAACAAATTTGTAACGTTGAAACGATTATTGACATGAGTTCAATAAATGATGAAACTTAGTGAAAATTGGCGAATTCTTAACCAAACTTTACACCACAACGCAACTGTTCACATGCACAATATTTGCACATGCTTTTCAGCAATTTGATGCGTGATCCTCGTGCATTTCATCTGCATAAGGTTTGCAGTTGGTTCCCCCAAGTTAGTGGAGTAATTCATCTTCCATGCTTTAAGTGAGTCTAAACGTTTGATGGGTAGTATACATGACATGTGAGTTTTGACTGACTGACTGAGTTTAGTTTTACGTCGCTTTTAGCAATATTCCAGCAATATCACGGCGGGGGACACCAGAAATGGGCTTAACACATTGTGCCCATGTGGGGAATCGAACCCGGGTCTTCGGCGTGACGAGCCAACGCTTTAACCACTAAGCTACCCCACCGCCCCTGTGAGTTTTGAGCCAATACCATGTACCCCTTTTGCAACTATTGTTACAGCGTATATTGTTACATGTCGATTCCCAAGTTGAAACAATATGTTAACTGGAAACAGGGCTCAATTTAAGGACTTAGAACTTGCACTGGTGCAACCTGAAACGGCAGCCTCATTTATACCAATGTATAGTTTCCTGTTTAGGCCAGACCAATTGTGTTTCTTGTTTTACGGATTTTTGTCCTCAGAAACCAGTAATATTCCTTATAAATACTGTAAGTATTTTACTTTTGGCAATTTATGAATAGTATAAGGGGCCAAAACAATCTAAAAAACAATTTCTTGTAAGTTTACATTTTTGGTCAATAGAAACACTAGGATTTTATTTTTTGAGGGGAAAAATAATTACTTTTTTTTCTTACTGATGACTGATGACTTCACAGACACTCTTTGAATGGCCGAAATTTGTTATAAAGTAACAAAACAATCTTATGTCCAGAGTAATGTTGATGTTCAAAATCATCACTACCAAAGCTCAAGCATTATGTAAAGTTTATGTTGAGCAGCAGGTGCAACCTGGGGGGTTTTCAGGTGTAACAAGGTTATTACCTAAGGTTGCACTGGGTGCAAGCATGTTTCATATTCTTAAATCAAGACCCAGAAAATCAGTCTATTGAACTTGGTTTAAAAAACAAACAAAGAAATGATATAATTATCAACTATATTCTAAAAAAAACTAGGTCTACAAATCAACAGCAATCACGTCAAAGGAATTACAATGACAGAATAAGATGTACAGGTAGTACAAATACAATGACAGAATAAGATGTACAGGTAATACAAATACAATGACAGAATAAGATGTACAGGTAGTACAAATACAATGACAGAATAAGATGTACAGGTAGTACAAATACAATGACAGAATAAGATGTACAGGTAATACAAATACAATGACAGAATAAGATGTACAGGTAGTACAAATACAATGACAGAATAAGATGTACAGGTAGTACAAATACAATGACAGAATAAGATGTACAGGTAATACAAATACAATGACAGAATAAGATGTACAGGTAGTACAAATACAATGACAGAATAAGATGTACAGGTAGTACAAATACAATGACAGAATAAGATGTACAGGTAGTACAAATACAATGACAGAATAAGATGTACAGGTAGTACAAATACAATGACAGAATAAGATGTACAGGTAGTACAAATACAATGACAGAATAAGATGTACAGGTAGTACAAATACAATGATAGAATCAGATGTACAGGTAGTACAAATATGATGACAGAATAATACAATGACAGAATAAGATGTACAGGTAGTACAAATACAATGATAGAATAAGATGTACAGGTAGTACAAATACAATGACAGAATAATACAATGACAGAATAAGATGTACAGGTAGTACAAATACAATGACAGAATAAGATGTACAGGTAGTACAAATACAATGATAGAATAAGATGTACAGGTAGTACAAATACAATGACAGAATAAGATGTACAGGTAGTACAAATACAATGACAGAATAAGATGTACAGGTAGTACAAATACAATGACAGAATAAGATCTATAGGTAGTACAATTACAGAATAACATACTGGCAGTAGAAATACAATGATATCATAATATACAAGCACTGATTGAATATTAACTGAAACAATGTAATACAGATACACCACTGTTCTACAATGACTGAGTGAGTAATGTTTTACGATGCTTTTAGCATTATTCCAGCAATATCACGGCGGGGGACACCAGAAATGTGTACCCATGTGGGGAATCGAACCCGGGTCTTCGGCATGACGAGCAAACGCTTGAACCACTAGGCTACCCCACCGCCCTTTCCACAATGAGAAACATGTCAGATATCAGGTAACAAAACATCCCCAGGGCCATTGTTGGCTTCCATTCAGAACTGTCTGTTTACATTCAGAATTGTGGGGAGAGTCATCACATACAAGAAGACAGAAACCCCCTGATTGGCTTGTCAGAAAGTTAACCTAATGGAATATAATGAAGAGTTTGTCAGATCCGTACAAAGGTATCAAATTGAAGTAACAGACATAAACTGGTTGTTCAAATCCTATACTGTGATGATTGCATTTTGGATTCTGATAGCTTTGACCTTTCATGAAGGTGACTCCGATGTTGACTACTTTGGTGAAACCCGGGTGTGGTGCAGACACACCAACAAACATAATGAGGGCAGATTCAAACCCACCTTCGTAGGTGGCATGTCTATGAGATAAGAAATAGATCTACCAATGATTTATTCAGTTTCAAAGCTATATATCCAGAGGCCATGATTAAATGTCTGAATTCTGAGTTAAAAATGAGCTGGTCAGGATATTTAACTTTGAACATTTTCAGATATATTTGTAAAGCACCACAACAACACAAACTTTAAAAATCTTTGGAGATACTTAAAATTAAATGATTACAGAAATACAAAGGACAAATGGTAATGGACAAACGAAAAAACAAGAAGACAAAGTCATCAATATCCCCCACAATGGCAAAACTCTCTTCATGAATATGTTAACTAGCTACGACTATGTCAAATGTTTTGGCATATATATAGCAGTGAGTAAGTAAGTTTTATGCCACATTCAGCAATATTCCAGCTACAAGGCAGCGGTCTAAATAATAGAATCTGGACCAGATAATCCAGTGATCAACAGCATGAGCATCGATCTACACAAATAGGATACAATGATATGTGTCAACCAAGTCAGTGACTATATTGCGAAGTGGAAGGAGAGTATTGAAAGGTTTTAAAGTTCTGTTCCAGAAGTCATCCTTATTGCCGTGCAAATGCAAAAAATAATTTTATTCAGAAATCCAAACTACAAAAATGCACCAGTACACCACCAGACCTATCTATGTGCCAAGTTTGGTGAAGATATATTGAACAGTTTTAAAGTTCTGCTCCGGAAAAGAGCACCAACGCCAATTTCAGAGTCAAACTTGTTGCCATGGAAACGGAAAAATACTAGTATTATAATCAGATATCCAGAGTACAAAAAGGCACCAGTTCACCACCAGACCTATCTATGTGCCAAGTGTGGTGACGAAATATTGAGCGGTTTTAAAGTTCTGCTCCGGAAAAGACAAATGTGCACGGATGGACGGATGGAGTGCATCTTAATACCCCCCGTAAAATGCGTTGCTGGGGATAATGAAGGGCAAGGTGACACAGGTCTCCCATACTTCAACATAGACTTACGACAGTTGTAGCGCTAAGGTGATCGTGACTCCCATACTTTAACATAGACTTACGACAGTCGTAGCGCTAAGGTGATCATGACTCCCATACTTCAACATAGACTTACGACAGTTGTAGCGCTAAGGTGATCGTGACTCCCATACTTTAACATAGACTTACGACAGTCATAGTGCTAAGATGATCGTAACTCCCATACTTTAACATAGACTTACGACAGTCATAGTGCTGAGGTGATCATGACTCCCATACTTCAACATAGACTTACGACAGTCATAGCGCTAAGGTGACCGTAACTCCCATACTTTAACATAGACTTACGACAGTTGTAGCGCTAAGGTGATCGTGACTC